TGGCGGCCACTGGCGGTCACTGGCGGCCACTGGCGGTCACTGGCGGCCACTGGCGGCCACTGGCGGCCACTGGCGATCACTGGCGATCACTGGCGGCCACTGGCGGTCACTGGCGGTCACTGGCGGCCACTGGCGGTCACTGGCGGCCACTGGCGGTCACTGGCGGTCACTGGCGGCCACTGGCAGTCACTGGCGGCCACTGGCGGTCACTGGCGGCCACTGGCGGTCACTGGCGGCCACTGGCGGCCACTGGCGGCCACTGGCGGCCACTGGCGATCACTGGCGATCACTGGCGGCCACTGGCGGTCACTGGCGGCCACTGGCGGTCACTGGCGGCCACTGGCGGTCACTGGCGGTCACTGGCGGTCACTGGCGGCCACTGGCGGTCACTGGCGGCCACTGGCGGTCACTGGCGGCCACTGGCGGTCACTGGCGGTCACTGGCGGCCACTGGCGGTCACTGGCGGCCACTGGCGGTCACTGGCGGCCACTGGCGGTCACTGGCGGCCACTGGCGGTCACTGGCGGTCACTGGCGGCCACTGGCGGCCACTGGCGGGCACTGGCGATCACTGGCGATCACTGGCGGTCACTGGCGGCCACTGGCGGTCACTGGGAATCACTGGCGGTAACTGGCGGCCACTAGCGGTTACTGGCGGTCACTGTCGGTCACTGGCGGCCACTGGCGGCCACTGGCGGCCACTGGCGGCCACTGGCGGTCACTGGCGGTCACTGGCGGTCACTGGGGGTCACTGGCGGTCACTGGCGGTCACTGGGGGTGTTACGGTATATCGTATTCGTGTTATTTCATCGCATAAAGGTACGATTATTTAAGTCATACGTTCATTATTACAGGAAGAACGAGGTTAACAACCATGGAGGTCGTTAACTGTCAGCACGGTGTGGCTCGTCCGGTGGCGGGAATGTCTGTTAGCCAATCAGAACCACCGGGCGAGGTAACGTGTGCTGGCCGGAGCATGTGGAGAAACAGACATCTACTCCCCTCCATTGAGTCAACAGGCTGTCGTCGCGTTTGGATGTGTGACCAACCGACCCAACTGTTAGAGTGCTCCACCCTCATGAAGGAAGAGGACCTCGAGGCATGGTCGACGCTCTTGAAAGTTATGGAAGATAACAGCTGTGAGATTTAGAGGTCGGCATGGAGGTAACGATTTTCCTGATAGCGGTACAAATTGCAGGAAAGTAGATGATTTATAAGTGGGAAGATCAATCGGGCAAGAGACGACCGTAGCATGGTCGTAGTATCTTTCTCTCTATATATATATTTAACTGTACTTGTGTACAATGCACATATATATACATGTAAAATATTGTATATAAGGTGATTAGAGATATATCACAATATATCCATGATGAAGTTTTATACCATCTTATTTTCTTGTCCTTTGTCAGACCTCGGCACAAAGTGTGTCGCACCTGACAACAGGTCCGGCTGAGGCTGACACCTGTTTAGATTCATGTACCCCGTTGTAGTACAACGAAGCATTAGGATAGACATTCAGAATAAACCTAAATTAAATGTGTTGGGTTGTCAACAGTTCGATCCCAACATCACTGATCACTGGGAATCATTGGCGGTCACTGGCGGTCACTGGGGGTCACTGGGAATCATTGGCGGTCACTGGGGGTCACTGGCGGTCACTGGGGGTCACTGGGAATCATTGGCGGTCACTGGCGGTCACTGGGGGTCACTGGGAATCATTGGCGGTCACTGGGGGTCACTGGCGGTCACTGGCGGTCACTGCACACATTGATTTAGAAGTCTGCTCTTCCGCCAACGTCTGGTGGTGCAGTTTTCAAAATCTATGTCTATCGCAGGTAAAAAAACCTTTGAAAACGTTAATTTTGAGCGGAATTCTGGCTCATTACACATATTTGGAGTTTTTAATTACGACTTTTTATACCGAAAATATGCAAATTAGTGAAAACGGAAATTGGTTAGATTCCCCCCCTGCAGTTCACTCAGGGTGGAGTGGAGTGCACTCCCGGATAAAGATGACGCAAGTGTGAGGTGTGAGGTCCGATGAGCTAGCCAAATATGAGGTGTGAGGGGCCCTGGGAGGCATGCATGAGGTGTGAGGCTCCAGGAGGCAAGTGTGAGGTGTGAGGTTCGATGAGCTAGCCAAATATGAGGTGTGAGGGGCCCTGGGAGGCATTCATAAGGTGTGAGGCTCCAGGAGGCAAGTGTGAGGTGTGAGGTCCGATGAGCTAGCCAAATATGAGGTGTGAGGGGGGCCTGGGAGGCATGCATGAGGTGTGAGGCTCCAGGAGGCAAGTGTGAGGTGTGAGGTCCGATGAGCTAGCCAAATATGAGGTGTGAGGGGGGACCCTGGGAGGCATTCATTAGGTGTGAGGCTCCAGGAGGCAAGTGTGAGGTGTGAGGTCCGATGAGCTAGCCAAATATGAGGTGTGAGGGGGGACCCTGGGAGGCATTCATTAGGTGTGAGGCTCCAGGAGGCAAGTGTGAGGTGTGAGGTCCGATGAGCTAGCCAAATATGAGGTGTGAGGGGGGCCCTGGGAGACATGCATGAGGTGTGAGGCTCCAGGAGGCAAGTGTGAGGTGTGAGGTCCGATGAGCTAGCCAAATATGAGGTGTAAGGGGCCCCAGGGAGGCATGCATGAGGTGTGAGGCTCCAGGAGGCAAGTGTGAGGTGTGAGGTTCGATGAGCTAGCCAAATATGAGGTGTGAGGGGCCCCTGGGAGGCATGCATGAGGTGTGAGGCTCTGTGAAGCAAGTACGTAGACCTATATTAAATGCTTTGAAATATATCAGCCTGTAACCCAATCCACCTCTGTAAGTGCCTTGTAGTCTGAAATAATATGAAGGATGTGATTTCAAAGAGTTTGAAATTTAATATAGCAGTAAATCTCAACATACCTATACAAAGTGAATACTTAACAGTTAGTGAAGCACCATCTGGCCTCTATCAATGTTGGAGACGCCCTGCAATAGTTGACACTGTTCACTGCATAACTTCTGACACCTCCAAAGTCGTTGACCAGACCACACACTAGAAGGTGAAGGGACGACGACGTTTCGGTCCGTCCTGGACCATTCTCAAGTCGATTGTGAGGTCCACAAACGACTTGAGAATGGTCCAGGATGGACCGAAACGTCGGCGTCCCTTCACCTTCTAGTGTGTGGTCTGGTCAACATACTTCAGCCACGTTATTGTGACTCATCCACTCCAAAGTCGCTTATGCAAAATGGTTGCCGTCGTGGGTGCATTTTTAAATGGGAATTGATAAATCTAACAACTTTTGTAACATTCTCGTTAAATCGACAATATTTAAAATCTACCCAAAATTTTTGCACATCCCAAATTTTCCAATCTCATATGCGACAAATGGAAGAAAGTAAATCGCATAATTTACACAAAAATAGCTGGCCAGACTTTGTATTTTGTCTTAAAAATATATAAATCACAACCTTTGAACTACGACATAAAATCTTTAAAATAGCTCGAATACGTTTCAACTGTAAGGTTTGCATCACTGCCCAAACACAATCGTTGCTGGTCCCGTTCTCTATAATGAATATAAAATGTCAACCAATGACCCATCTTACCAGTTCCCAGTCTCCGTGGTGTAGTGGTAAGACACTCGCCTGGCGTTCCGCGAGCGCTATGTCATGGGTTCGTATCCTGGCCGGGGAGGATTTACTGGGCGCAAATCCTTAACTGTAGCCTCTGTTTAACGCAACAGTAAAATGTGTACTTGGTTGTAACAACGATTCTTCGCGGCGGGGATCGTATTCCAGGGACCTGCCCGAAACGCTACGCGTACTAGTGGCTGTACAAGAATGTAACAACTCTTGTATATAGCTCAAAAAAAAAAAATTAGACGAAGCAACATCTAGCGTATGATAAATATCACAGGCCTTCTAGAAACCATTTTCATCATCCTCCTTACTTCATTATCTAGAAAACACGCGAGATAATGTACTTTTTTTCACCTAAAACCTCCTTTTATTGCTCGAGTGAGTTCCAAACAATGCATGTTAATTACCCTCTTCATGAACTCTATGCAGTGGCTTTTCTTAGGTAGACATAAACCGGTTTATGTCTAAAACCTTACCGGTTTTATTAGGACAGTTAAACCCTTGTTACAAAGTGCGTTTGTGTTATCACAGAATGGAATTACTTTGTTCAGTTTCAGGTTGAGTTTCCGTTTATTAGGAATAGCACTTTTTTATATAATTTTCCGAGCAATATCAAGGAGCCATCTTGGGTAACCTGCTATGCTGAGAGGAGCGTTAATAGGGTGTATGTGAAGCTCAAAATACTGGGAGGACTACACTTGTGTAGTGCCTTCACGAGGCGAGCCAAAGCCACGCTCTTCCTCACCTCGACAGTGTGCTTACTGGGACACTGAAGGTAACTACCTGTATGATTATGTGATTAGACTTCCAAATTATGGGTATTCTTCTTCTGTTGAGAGAGAGAGAGAGAGAGAGAGAGAGAGAGAGAGAGAGAGAGAGAGAGAGAGAGAGACTACAACAGGTGTGAATAGTGTGGTAGACACCACTAAGTATGGGAAAGGAATAGATAGAGCAGGTGGGAGGGGAGAGCAATAATGGAAATAAAGAAGATAAAAATAACTAATAAAGAGAAAGTAGAAGGATCTCACCATGATAAAAGACCATCTGCCACCCTTCCACCTCCCTCCCTCCCTCTCTACCATCCCACTGCACCCTCCAGTATCCCACTTAACTCACAGACTGATAAATAAAAGTGATTTCCTCTCCCTCACTCCCCCTCCCACCTCTCCCACTTCCGCCAGGCGATGGCCTTTCCTAACTTCTAACTCAACTTTTAAGTGCTATAATTTTTAATGTAACTTCTCTTTGATGCTACTTTGTTCAACAATTTAGTTCTTTTAAAGAGAACATCTAGAGAGTTAATCTCTTTATCTCTGTGGAATTTCTCTTTCCTCGTTAACGTGGCTTTGTGTACGTAAATAAATGGAGCGTTGTGAGGGTCTTAGGAAGGTGAGTTGGTTAGTGTGGTGCCATACTCCTGGTATATTGTGGCGCCATACTCCTGGTATATTGTGGTGCCACACTCCTGGTATATTGTGGTGCCATACTCCTGGTACATTATGGCGCCACACACTTGGTACATTATGGCGCCACACTCCTGGTATATTGTGGTGCCATACTCCTGGTATATTGTGGCGCCATACTCCTGGTATATTGTGGTGCCACACTCCTGGTATATTGTGGCGCCATACTCCTGGTATATTGTGGTGCCACACTCCTGGTATATTGTGGTGCCATACTCCTGGTACATTATGGCGCCACACTCCTGGTATATTGTGGTGCCATACTCCTGGTATATTGTGGTGCCACACTCCTGGTATATTGTGGTGCCATACTCCTGGTATATTGTGGCGCCACACTCCTGGTATATTGTGGTGCCACACTCCTGGTATATTGTGGTGCCATACTCCTGGTATATTGTGGTGCCATACTCCTGGTATATTGTGGTGCCACACTCCTGGTATATTGTGGTGCCATACTCCTGGTATATTGTGGTGCCACACTCCTGGTATATTGTGGTGCCATACTCCTGGTATATTGTGGTGCCATACTCCTGGTATATTGTGGTGCCATACTCCTGGTATATTGTGGTGCCATACTCCTGGTATATTGTGGCGCCACACTCCTGGTACATTATGGCGCCACACACTTGGTACATTATGGCGCCACACTCCTGGTACATTATGGCGCCACACTCCTGGTACATTATGGCGCCACACACCTGGTACATTATGGCGCCACACTCCTGGTACATTATGGCGCCACACTCCTGGTACATTATGGCGCCACACTCCTGGTACATTATGGCGCCACACTCCTGGTACATTATGGCGCCACACACCTGGTACATTATGGCGCCACACACCTGGTACATTATGGCGCCACACACCTGGTACATTATGGCGCCACACACCTGGTACATTATGGCGCCACACACCTGGTACATTATGGCGCCACACACCTGGTACATTATGGCACCACACACCTGGTACATTATGGCGCCACACACCTGCCACACTCTTATTAATAGCTTTTACTGCGCAAGAAAATAATACCACACTTTTACAGAAATACTGCGTGGCTAACCACTTCGGTCAGGTCGTTTACAACAGTTAAGGTAGAGGTGGGCTTCGTGCAGGTGTGGTGGAGCCGGTGTGTGTGTGTGTGGCTTCCCCTAAACACACCTGCTATTCGTAAGAAAATCTAACAAACACTACACTTGCTTTCAAAGGTTAATATTAAAAGAATTCCCACTTTACATTTCTATTACTATATCTTCTTCCCATATTCATGGGATCCATGAATGGAGTTTAAAGAAATATAATCACTAAACCCAATTGTTAGAGAAGTCAAATCACCCATCAGAGCCTCAAGGAACAAATAGTGTACTTATTATAATTTGTACACATGAACACGCAGGCAATTCACACTTTGTCTAGTGTACTATTCATCAAAATTGAACAAGACTCCGCTGAATGGAGCCTCATCTAGAGCCCATGTCAATAAGATTACCTGCTTGATACCTGGTTGATGGGGTTCTGGGAGTTCTTCTACTCCCCAAGCCCGGCCCGAGGCCAGGCTTGACTTGTGAGAGTTTGGTCCACCAGGCTGTTGCTTGGAGCGGCCCCGCAGGCCCACATACCCACCACAGCCCGGTGTGGATTCAACAAGATTAACTTGTTGAATTTGTTATCTTTCATTAACACCATTTTACCCTCCCCCGCCGTCGCTAAGCTCACTGAATGACTGGGTGTGTCGAGTTAAGAGGCATTATGAAATTTCACAAGTGGGTCTTTTCAGTGGCATCAGGCATCACTGGCGCCCAGGACTTCCACTACTCTCACCACTAACACCCAATACTTGTACAGCAGGCATCAGTGTCTCCCAACACTGCATCACGGTCGAGAGTCGGTCGGCCGAGCGGACAGCACGCTGGACTTGTGATCCTGTGGTCCTGGGTTTGATCCCAGGCGCCGGCGAGAAACAGTGGCCAGAGTTTCTTTCACCCTATGCCCCCTGTTACCTAGCAGTAAAATAGGTACCTGGGTGTTAGTCAGCTGTCACGGGCTGCTTCCTGGGGGTGGAGGCCTGGTCGAGGACCGGGCCGCGGGGACACTAAAAAGCCCCGAAATCATCTCAAGATAACCTCAAGATTTCAAGATACATCACTGATACAACTTTGGTGAATCAAAAGGCACCTCTGGCGCCTACTGCACGAACTACTGTACTGGATTCCTTGCCCCCACCAGTAGTCGATTGATGATTGATGAAGATTAAGCCACCCAAGAGGTGGCACGGGCATGAATAGCCCGTAAGTGGTGGCCCTTTTGAGCCATTACCAGTATCAAAAGATGATATTGGAGATCTGTGGAGGTGCAACTGCACCCTGCGTGACGGGAGATGTCTCCCGGACCAAATGGTGACCAAATGGTCACCAGTAGTCGATTGATTGATAAAGTAAGCCACCCAAAAGGTGGCACGGGCATGAATAGCCGTAAGTGGTGGCCCTTTTGAGCCATTACCAGTATCAAGAGCTGATACCTGTGGAGGTGCGACTGCACCCTGCGTGACGGGAGACCGTGTCAGTAGTCCTTCTGAGCCATCTTATATAACCCCGACCAGCACCTCACCCCCTTGCAGCACCAGGCACCCAGCACAGGCACCAGTCACGTTCACTACACGGACCACAGGCACCAGTTACGGCTCACCACCTGCAGCACGTGAGCCCACTAGGATCACTACCACTGCGAACACCACCTACAACCTCTGACAAACTCATCCCACGTCCCTCGGGTCGTTGTCAGTCCAGTTAGTGTCTCGTGCAGTTTTATGGACGGGCCGCCAGGGTCATGTTACTGAGCCGGGCCATCATATCCGAGGTCCGGCCAGTTTCTTGGTCCTTTTCCGCCTTCCAGGACACGTTCCAGGCCAATAAATAATCCTGTATGTCGTCCCAAGGATCCATGCCACCTCCTGATACCTTTGGATGGCAGGACTTCCGCTATACCTTCAGGTCTTCCCTCTTCCATCTTACTTTACACGCTTCCGGGGCCCTTCACATCTCTTCCATCTTACCTTACACACTTCCGGGGCCCTTCACATCTCTTCCATCTTACCCTCTATACTCCCAGGTCCTCCACCACACAGTTATGACCTACCACACACTTCTAAGTTCTCCACCACAGTCTCAGACCAACAAAAATTCTAGATTTTCCGTCACATCTTCAAGTCCTCCTCCACATCTACAAGCGCTCTTCCACACCTACAGGTCAGCCGAGGTCAGCTTCAACGTGACAGTTCGTCCTGGCAGCATGGGTTATTTATTCTTCAAGAGGAACCAAAGCGCACGCAATGAGCAGTGAGAGGCACGGGCACTGACACGGACATTGGCACGGTAAGAGTATGAACACGACTAGAGACACACATATATAGTCACGGACAAGAGGCACGAACACGTATATAGGTTCAGATTAAGAACACAGGCACAGAAGCGGGTATAGATTCAGACACGGACACAGCATCACGGGCAAAAACACGACCATAGACACACTAGAGGCAATAAACCAAACGTCATACATCCCATACAATGTGAATGAGAAGATCATAATAGAGAGTAAAACATCTGGGAATAAACGCCTTCCAAACAATACCAACAGGGGTTCAGACACGACATAAGCCACCTCGCACTCCTAATGCCATGCCAGGCCGACTGAAACCCCACACGACCCAAGTGTAGACAGACTGCTTATTTGTGGAATGTCTGAAGGTGTTTGACACAGTGCTCACGTGAGACAAGTCCAACTGACAGGGAAGGTGAATCACCATTCCTCTTTGCACTATAATTTGATGATGAAACCGGCGGTGCTCAGGTCGATCCCCCCAAAAAAATTGCCCCAATGAAGTGTTTCTAAGCCTAGTAGGCATCCATCAGTCTCAGGAGACTATGGAGTTGCGCTCTGGTTGTCGGTCTGGAGTGGCCTCACCAGGGCACAAAGCCAGGGTAGGTTGAGTCGGGGGAGAAGCTGTTACCCAGGCAGCAGGTCCCCCCTCTCCACGGCGCTTCCAAGCCTACAGCATGGAAATCTGCTATCAGGACAAGTGATTTTGCATGTCAAAATAATAATATTTTAACTAGCTGGAAAGCTATGATAAAAATACCCACTAGTCACTGTGCAAAGTTGGATGAGACTAGCCGCAGACGTCTGGCCTTCAACCTTGGAAAGACAGCCTAGTAAACATACACACATTACCTTTTATATGTAGACTGTTGTTGTTAATGTGGTCTCGAGGTCTGACGTCTACTACAATGAGTAATCACCAGGCTAAAACCTAAGTCAAAACATGGGTCAAGACGTAGGTGAAGACGCGCGTTAAGACGTGTGTTTACACCTCTGGTACCTAATATTAATTTGTGCTTATCTCTCATTTCAAGTGAGTTCACATAAGTAAATCATATTATCATATATATATATATATGTCTCACCTTTACTCTGGGAACACCCTTATCAGCCCAGATATATAGGTTCACGTCTTGGGCCAGACGGAGCCGCTCTGGGATATACCTATTTATAATTGATGTGAAGAGTCTCAGTGTGCCAACAGATGCAGTCTCGTCAATGTTTACTGACGATAACACAACGAGAATGATAAAAACAGATAAATACTGCAGTAAGTTACAGGACCTGCACAAACTGAAATAATGGTCTTACAAGTGACTCCTAGAATTTAGCTCTAGAGAATGAAAAGTAGTGAAAATGAGTAATGGGTACAAGAGGCTGAGCAAAGGTTTTCCTATTGGAAATGAAAGCCATTCTAGAATAGAAGGGGGAAAATATAAAGGTTCTGTAGGATATGTATATATGTATATATATATATATATATATATATATATATATATATATATATATATATATATATATATATATATATATATATATATATATATATATATATATATATATATATATATATAATGTTTAGGAGGTGCTTTTGTGGCAATTTAAAAAAGAATAAGGAAGGAGAGACTCGTTTTTCTCCCTCTTGCAACATCGTCAAGTTATTATAATTATTACAATCATTATTATGCTGTCTTTAAAGTGATTGTATATGTATTATTTCATATAAAGGTTTGATGAAATTTACTTCATGAAGACAAGGCCGTGGAGTACAGCGTTGAGCTGGTTGTCTGCGAGGATGAGACAACCTGTCAGTCTTCCTAGTGTTGCCTGTGTAACACCCGCTGACGGCTCAGGACACACACACACGCACGCACGCTACAACACCAAGACGGTGAAAGGGGAGGATTGACTAGGCACCAATTAAGCGTATGCTTCTCTTCGCCCAGCAGTGATTGGGTACCTGGTTCTTCAAGATTGGCGAGTAGTGTTCCAGGGAAACTAGCGGGTAAGGCTGACCATGAGCTATGGGGAAGGGAAAGCTCTCAACCTACTATAACAGGCGTCAGCAGTTGTCTGATCCTGTTATCTTGAGGTTATCTTGAGATGATTTCGGGGCTTTAGTGTCCCCGCGGCCCGATCTTCGACCAGGCCTCCACCCCCAGCAAGCAGCCCGAGACAGCTGACTAATACCCAGGTACCTATTTTACTGCTAGGTAACTGGGGCATAGGGTGAAAGAAACTCTGCCCATTGTTTCTCGCCGGCGCCCGGATCGACCCAGGGACCACAGGATCACAAATCCAGCGTGCTGTCCGCCCGGCCGACCGGCTCCCAAGACCGGCTCTGTACCCACCTGTGTAAACAAAATAAGGGAAGAGCCCAGTACGAACATATAATAAACTGCAGGCGCGTGCTGAACGCACTGACGGG